TCTATATTAGAATGTACAGTATCACAACGTCATATGTGTACTGTGAGGTTCTTATAACAGTATGTCCAATTTGTAACAATATCTGTATATTGTTGAAATTGATGTATACCCCATATTTCTGATTAAAAGGTTATAAAACTGTTTCTTAATAAAACCACTGCACCTGTTGTCATTCCTATTTCGATTCTAAATACCACAATATACTTGTGTTTTTAGGGTCATCTGTATACGGTGTATGTTTGCATTCAAGTCAATATCACATTAAGGAAATGTATGATTCCCACTGAGATAAATTTCCAACAAAGATAATAATGTAAACCACAAGACTATAAAGGAAACAAAAATACACGAAAATACCGTATAGAAAACAACAACGAGAACATTAGGAATGTGAGTCTTTTTATTAAAGAGGCGACAAAATCAAGTATTTTTTTACACCGGGAATCATACTGATTTAATATTATTTCAAACCGTAATTGTACATTTTCAAAAAAATTATCTCTTCAACTATTTTATTTGAAATAAACATACAAATACAGAATGTCTCATTTTCAATATTTATCACAATTTTTGTGTTAAAAGCGTTTTAAACTGAAATTGATAAGATTAATATCTTTGCTGCAAATTGATAATATAAATATTAAAGAAATCAAGTGCATATCAAAACTTAAGTTCTGTTCCACACTGTCCTCAGCACCATGGCAGAACAAAAAAGACCAAAAGACAAACAACTGTACACAAAACACAACATACCATAGATAACTAACCAACACGAACCCCTCCAAAAACCGGGGGTGATTATACATATTTTGCTCAACTAAAAGTTTTCGCACGCGCCAGTCCGTTCATTGACACAAGCACTTCCAATACACAACTATTGTCTTCCGTAAGTACATTTTTCAAGTTGTGTCTGATCAGATCTTTTTTTTTAGAATAGCTGTTAACAAGTTTCAAGAATAGGTCGTCTCGAATGTTGAACATGTATTTGTGGTCTAGATTTATTTGCATTAAATGTCTTTAGAACAAGATCCGTTTGAATTTGACTAGTATTTTAATTTTAGAATTGTAAATATTTGCTGCATATTTGCGATTTTATTGGTTTATTTCCCTGACACTATCTGACCAAACTGCATACATACACGGCTTGTTCCATTGAGGAATACAGCACGCAGAAAAATGAATTAATGTTTTACTAGAGGAATATGTTCGCACAGCATTATTTCTCAAAACTCCTATAGCCTGCTGTACTCTGCTGTTTGCTATATTAAGAGAGAAATGATAACAGTATAAAGTAATATTGTTTTTATTTCAATATATTTCTATAATTATGATTTTTACCAGAACGTTTTCCTGTGAATTTATAATTAAAATTGTCCTTACTAAAATGTGACAAATATTGAAAGAATCTCTGTTTTCAGTGTTTGCAGGGAAGGTTTTTTTTTGCAAATGTGTAGTGAGCTGTAGATATATATATATTGGTTTTGTTTTTATTTGATGCGTTATTGGCCGAAATTGTTAACTGAACATCTCACTTTAATAAATAATAATAACAATTTACTCTCAAAAAAACTTTAAAAGCTGGAAGATGAAAACAAAACCTTCATTAAACCAACTGAACCTAACTATGTCATCTTTACATGAAATATGATATGAACATGGTGCAACAGATCGTTTCACATTGACGTCCGTTCCTGCAACTTGAGTGCGATCTTACTTTTCAGTTTTAAATCGACGTCCCTTAAATTTTATTCTTCACATTTAATGTCAATGTTATGATAAAACTAAGACCGATTGAAATATCCTCAAAGTAAAGCAAAAAAACTTAAACATTAATATGATATTATGTAGTTATCTTTTTGTGTTCATTTTATTCGGCCAACAAAGACGAAATGACAAATCATCAAATAATCAAACAGATGACTTGTAAAACAAAGGTTAAATAATCTATATGGGTCAAATGACAACATTAACAGATTGTATAGACATTGATATTTTCATCTCAAGACCTGAAATAGTGGACCTTATGCTATTGTATTGTTCTTTTTGTCTTCTACGTCCCAATGTTTCACTAACATTTATACATCTTTTCTAATGCAAACTTATTTTGAACAATCTGTGATGGGAAATATTCAAGATGATAGCTGTAAGTTTGTATTGATTATGATAGACATTTTTGAAATGGTCTTTCAAACATAGTTTGTATAAGGAATTTAGTTTTGAAATTGATAGGGAATATAGTTTCATGCGGATGTAAAGGTGCATTTTAAAGGCTTTTGTATAAAATGTAGAAAGTCATGTATACAGACAACAGAAAGAGAAGATGGTGCATAATAAAGACGACAATGCGCCTGGTGGCAAAGGTGAAAATGACCTTCACATTGAATTAACTGTAGGAAGGACTAGAATGAATACATGTAACATAGATTGTGATGTTGAATGATCAGACTGATTAAAATGTATGTTAATTTTATACCTGTTCACTGTTGCCTTTCGAGCTAATACGTCTATTAAGATTCAATGTGTCGGTCTACTACAAAGCCCTGTATAAATTCTTATTCAATTTTCATTTTTACTTCCTCAATGTGCATTTTATTCTAGCCGCTGGACATAAAGTCAATAAAGATTAATCAATCAATCAAATGAAAGCATTTTTTAAAATTTGATCAAAACATCTCTTAATTCAGAGATCAAGATTGCATTACCTAATCATATGCTAAAAAATCAAAATCAACAGAAAGTAGAAACAAGATAAAAATATATCATCATCACAAAAGATTAGTAGATGTCGTTCATTTTTATTTTGGTAAAAACCAAAAAGTATTCAAAACGGAAATTTTATGTCCTTACTAGTTGTTAAAATAATGAGCCAAATCTATTATCAGTAATTAAATTGATGAGAGTCTATAATTAATATGTCTTAAATGACTAGTCGCAAGGTATCAACTTGTATTTTGAATTCACATTGTTTTTTTTCGCTATTCGTTTAACTTCAGAAAGAAACCTGTATTGTGTTCTAATGTTAAATTACAAATAATTTACAAATCGAGACGCGGTTAAATTTATACATGCAAGGAAGCCAAGTTTAACGCCGTTTATTTCAGTTTTTGAGGTTTCAATATAACCAAGAAACAATACTTGAAAAACAAAATATAAGCTGAAAATGTTTAATACATATAAAGGACCAATGCAAAACAATTTTTGAACAGAAACTAGTTCACGAAGAAAACCAAAATCAAGAATTGTTTCCAGAAATAGAGGCACCACCCCATTTATTATAAAGTTGGTCTATTAGTATAGATTACGGTCAAAGCAATAAACATGTATAAATATATTACCATAAAACAGCTTAAAAGATAACAATTCCAAGATTACTTCGCGGCACATGTAGACAGAATACTTTTTAAAAATGTATTACACTAATACGGCTTTAAAAGTAAACAATTCCAATATTGCTTTGAGACAGATGCCCTCTCCGCACTATCACAGTGGATTGCTTTGAATTTTTGAAATTCTAAGGCTTTTCTACCTCAGGAATAGATTACCTAAGGTGTATTTGGCAACACTTTTAGGAATGTTTGGTCCTCAATGCTCTTCAACTTCGTATTTTATTTGGCCTTTTTAACTTTTTTTTATATATTAGAGCGTCACTGATGAGTCGTTTGTAGACGAAACGCGCGTCAGGCGCAAATACTAAATTTCAATCCTGGTATCTATGATGAGTTTATTTGCCTCATCGCATTAAGTAACTTAATGATGAGTGTGCTTTATAACGACCTTGATCACTCATGGGGTCTTGTACGGTCGGAAGAAATGATAACGTAATATGTAACTAAATAATATTTTCGAAATAATGAAAGGTTCTTTATATTGGGAAATTATAATTTTAAACGTTTCAGAACAAATAAATTAAAATATTGATATACATAAATGTCTTTAATAAACCAATGATAAATGCGAAGATTCATAAATATAAATTTTGTAATGATTTAAAATAAAATAAAATAACTATAAGTACTTGTAAAGATGGAATTATGAAATTGTTTAAAGGAGACAATAAACGCATTGATAAGATAGACTTTTTGAAATTGAAACATAGTACAAAAGGATGTCAGTCTTGCATACAAATGACACATCAAACGAATTATTTAACACAGCATTCCTGCTCCAGCTTCAATGAAGATTCTTTAAAATCAATATAACCAACAGTTGTATATCTACAGGATAGTGACAGCTATTGAATGCTTACCCACAGTATTTGTTTGAAATTTATTAAAACCTACTCGGAAAAATGTACGAAGTCGACTTTCATAGCTCATAATAAAAGTGTTTACACATTAATGATATAGTTGCTAAACATTATATGTCTCTTACAGTATAAGACGCAATATGCTTGCATCAACTTATCCAAATAAAGATGTATTTAAAGCCTGAACACTTTGAGATTGTTTATTTTATTTATCCGTGTCCTTTTTTTTTTATATTATTACATCTTTCTGTTAAGATTTGACTAAATACCCATCTCCCGATATCGTCAAGTAAATACGCTACGTTCACAAATATTGTTTTCATTTGTTTGAGTAGCTGTCTTATTGACATATACTTTACCTCTCCGTTTATTCGTTTGATTTATGATTTCAAGAAAAAAGAATAGTTCATGTCATCGTAAAAAGTCAAACGAACATGCCTAACTTCTGATTAAATCATGAAAATAAGGTTCAATTCCTGGTAAGAAGTGCCTGATCAATTGTCTTTTAAAAATATTTATTGAATGTCTAAGATTTGTTACATGTGTTGCGTTGTTCATTAAATAATGTCATGAACATGTTTTGATGATTAATATGCAGTTTTACAACGAAAAATTTATAACAAATACCTTAGTCATAATGGAGGAAAACATTGTACAATGAAATTTTGATTTAGGGTGTGAGGAATTTTTACCAGTCGTATCAGATAGTATCTTTTATTCCCTAACAATAAGAAAAACCTAAATAAATGCATTGTAACTTTTTATTTAGCTATGAGATATCCAGAGAAGGTACTGTAGTAATGATAGCCACTGTAGATTTTTTGACTATTACAACCCGAAGCACACCTTATATAGATGCGATCACCTTTCTTTAACTTAAACACAACATCAAAGGTACCAGTTTTATAACCATTGCCATGCGAAAAACTTCCAGCGGTCTTTGTATCATTGTGCCATAAATGGAGAAACAGTCGTTTACCTTCTTCTGACATGACAACTGCTGAGAAGTGGTACAGACCAGGTAATGGAGCAGTAAAGACACCTGTTGTAACGTCATATGCATGCATGGTATTTGTCCATAGCTTATTAAACTTTACAATAGCATTGGTCGATGCAGTTTGTGCAGAGGTCAAATAGGCTGAGAAGGCAGGTGTATCTTTTTGTGTCGATGTGTTTCCTTGTCCTCCAAGCCCTGAAATGAGATTAATACTTTTTTTTTAAATTTTCTATGTATAAAGTTGCCTTATATAGTCATTATCATAAGAATAAATTCGTCTGATTTCCTTTTCAGATAAACACAAAATCTGCTAAATGCTATTTTACTCAGTACGAATAATCGTTTATTTTCTCAAATTATATGCAACTTATTTATTAATAGCGATTAGCATCATTTGTTATATTCAATGGCATTTTTAGAGGAATACGTGAAATAGAGATTATGAAAACAATGTACCAAATCAGAATCGGTCTTTCATATACGAATAGGACATATCAGACACGATATAGAAAAAGACAAGGAGAGGGGAACATGAACAAAATATATGAATTAAATCATTTGTACCTGTTCCTTTCAGCTTTAACATCATTCGAATAAGGTCATCAAACAATGAGTTTTCTGCAAATATAGAAACAAAGGTTTAAAGATCAGAACAGTCAATATTTGTTTTTGATTTGTAAAATAAAAATTATGTTTATGCTTTCAAAGGTGAATTTTATTATATGATTAAACTTTAAAACATCAATTTCTTTTGTTTAACTCCACTTTATCTTTTACAGTCTATTTATCAAAAATACATATTTTACTTGCACTTTGAAATATAAGACTAGAAGATAAGAATAGATCTAAATCCATTATAAAAAAATAAAGCTGATTCTATAATAAAACGCAATACTTAAAGGTTGCAATTCTGTAAATATAGACAATGCAATTTCCCTTAGGAACTCCCTTTGAGGCTAAAACTGTGACACTTTTACTATGAAGTTTCGTGAAAAATAATATCCTAGAACGGAAAGTTTATATGCACTACTATTTTATTCAAAGGTCAAAATATAGGGCTGTGCGGCATATTTTCAACATTTATATGCCCTGAACTTCTAATTATAAGAGTTTAAACTTATACCAAAATTCTATACTACCCTTACCTCCATTTTTGGACCTCCTAAGAATTAAAATTTAGGCGCTACCATGTTTTTCTTTACTGGATACATTCCCAAGTGATGTCTCTATGAAATGAAACACAGAGATCATAAATGGGAACCAGTACGTTAACAAATTAACATATCTATGAATATTATATATCTCCCCAAAAGAGGCGTGGTTTGAGAAACAGCTGTATTTACAAAGTGCAACATATACAAACATTTATTCAAATAGAAAACTCTCTAAAAACACTTTTTCTCACAACAATACTTATTTATCAGAATTATAGCCTTAAAGAAATCACTGCATATACTCTAAGTTTCCTTTTACAGTACACTTTATACCCCTTCCCATGTTTCAATTTTTTAAAGAATCTGAAAACAAGACTTTAATAATTGCCAGCTTACCCTATGTGTATGTTTTCTGACATGAACTGTCTAAAACCTGTTTGAAACTATTCTGATAACAAATTGAAAGCATTTTAAAATACTATAAATGTAATGTTTAGTAGTTAATCATTCCAACTTTCAAGATTATACAAAGTATCCAATCCTGCCTGTGTCTCCAGTCCACATCTTACTGTATGCCTATTTGTCAATGAAAGTTCACAATTTCTGCCTCAAATGGTCAGTTTAGAATTCATGTTACAACAGTATCATCCCTAACCATATATCTAACATAAGTTAGTTAATATATGAACTAGAAGTGTTTAAACAAAGCCATATTTGCAAAAGTTGTATTTATGAAGATATCAGTCTGGTGCATAAATTCACTAAAAGTTTGATAGAAATGACTGCTTACATCTGATTTTTGCATAACTTCCTAGCACAGTTATTGTTTTCTTTACAAAAGACCTTTAAAATAATAAAATCATAGCATTTAGAAGTTAAATTCTCTGTTTTATGACCCAGGGGGAGGCATTTTTCTCTGTTTTTTGCCCCTGGGGCCTCACATTTCCTAATTTTTTTTCCCTGTTTCTAGCAATGTGGAATATTTGGTACATATTTAGGATAAAAAACACTATTGTAAGTTTTATTGAGGTCTTTTTGTAACTCTAGCTTGTACTTTTTATGCCGCAGTCACAAAAAAGCACATTTAGGTGTTACGGCTTACTTTTGGGTTATCGACAGGACAAAAACACCCCACCAAAAATATTTAAGAAGGATCAATGAGTTGCAATGACTGCGAAGAGTAAATATAAACAATTTAAATTACAAATAGGCAAGATTATGATTTTTTTTTTTAATTCAGGGCTTTAAGTAAACAATGCATACTGTAAACTGTGAATTTATGCTGACTCATCATAGTTTAGGCCCAGGATTTTCTCAATCTTCATGAAATATTTATAAAACTTCATATTTGAGTGAAATTCTTCAAAAACTCTGAGATAAACAAGATTTTGTGAAATTCTGTATGTTCTAATTTTTAACCCTATATAGGTTGCAATTCTGTAAATATAGACAATGCAATTTCCCATAGATACTCCCTTTGCGGCTAAAACTGTGACACTTTTACTATGAAGTTTCGTGAAAAATAATATCCTAGAAAGAAAAGTTTATATGCATTACTATTTTATTCAAAGGTCAAAATATAGGGCTGTGCGGCATATTTTCAACATTTATATGCCCTGAACTTCTAAGAGTTTAAACTTATACTAAAATTCTATACTACCCTTACCTCCATTTTTGGACCTCCTAAGAATTAAAATTTAGGCGCTACCATGTTTTTCTTTACTGGATACATTCTCTATGTCTCTATGAAATTAAACACAGAGATCATAAATGGGAACCAGTACGTTAACAAATTAACATATCTATGAATATTATATATCTCCCCAAAAGAGGCGTGGTTTGAGAAACAGCTGTATTTACAAAGTGCAACCTATAACCATGATTACACTAACCAGGTGTACCGCTACATAAGCTGATCACGACTCATAACCTACCAAGCTAAAAGGTACATGTGCTGCTCACGACTCAAATAGCATACCAAGCTAAAAGGTAAAGAAGCTGTTCATGACACATATAAATCATCAAGCTGACAGCTACATGGACTGCTCATAACACATGATTTACTTAGCTTATAACTACAAAAGCTGCTCAACACACATATAACATACCAAGCTTAGAGCTACATAAACTGCTAACGACACATATCTGTCCGCTTAGAACAAGACATACTATTGGTAGATGCTGTAGTATGAACATTATTTCACTGGTCGACTGTAGAGAGAATTAAACAGACGAGGTCATTACCTATCATTTCATTCTTGAAGAAGAGCTCTTTTATACATATGTTTCTGTCTAAAGCTTTACTGTGTCATTAAATGGTAATTTGATATATTTACCCTTTCCGTGTTTATTTGGAACAGCTTGTAACAAAATTCTAAGTTTAGTTTGTATGACACGTGGTTCTTGAATGTCTATCTCCAAGTTACTAATGAGTCTAAAAGTCAGACAGACTTTAAAATATATGGTTTACAATATACAATGATATACATAAACTCATCCTGATAGATTACAGGATTAAAATTTGGTACACGTTTCGTCTATAGAATCATCGTCAGTGACTCTCTTATCAGAAAAAAGGCCAAATAAAGTACGAAGTTTAGCATTGATGTTATAAAGAAATGAGGATCAAATAAAATTGCTCTAAACAGGTCAGCGGAAATAGTAAGAACCATCATCGGCTTGCCCTTTGATGGTTATATAGTGCTTTAGCTTCGTCCATCAAAATCGGCACTTATCACGTGGTACTAAGATAAAACATCTTCATTTTGCATTTTACTTTATAAGATCGTCTGCAAAAGCTAGGCAGTAAAATATTGAGAAACAATATAACGGTAAAAGATAACCAGTACAAAGAGGGAGAACTCATTAATAAATATAATGTCTATTTCTTTTTCCTGTCTCTATTAGAAGATTCTATTCATATCAAAACTAAGTATTGTATTAGAAACTTAATCTTCTTTTGTATAGATCCAGATAAAAAGGCTTTCGAGATTGACGTTTCGCGTGTTTTTGAAAACTTTTGAAATAAAGGTATTAAAAAGAGGACACTTAAAACAAAATTCAATTCAATTTCTTTAATTTTAAATGCGCAGTGTTGATATCGTTGTTCATATCAGGACAGAAGCTGAAGTTTTTTCTGAGCTATTGAGCTTTTTCTGATGCGTTCCGAGCTTTTAAGGGAACTATGATTACTCAGACTAAATAAAGGAAAAATTCTAGGGTTGTTAACATTGTTCGTTTTTAGGTTACTTTCGTATTTGAAACTTAATTTGAATTTTATTGATTGATTTTTGTTTGCTTTTCATTCAGTGGCAAGTATTTCATTAATCTTCAAGATTAAACTATTAACAATAGATACAATAGAACGGTCTTCTACTGGGATGAAAGGCAGGTACAAAAAATGTATTATTGACTGACGATTGAAAAATATGATATATATTATATTTAATATGGACAGAAATTTAGTCTTTCATTAGACCGACTACGGACCCCCAAGGGTTGTTGCAATGGTTCTCCACGTGCTGAGACCGTTTTACTCTCTCAACAAGAAGCATCGGATACTCCATAATGACCGGACATGGTTGCACATTTCTCGCACAGCCAAACGAACGCCCTCACTTTGGCAAACTTATTTACTGTGGCTGGAAGAAGATCAAGTACAAGTGATGACTATATTTCCATACCTCAGTCAAACCTTGGTGTCTATTTGAATTTTAAATATGTGCTGAGGTTTCAAGTATCTTGTAGAAATTTAGTTCTCATATCCAGGCATATCTTAAATAATGTATTCAAGAGATATTTCATAATGGTATACTACCTATGTTTTGAGCGGGTTTTTGAAATTTTTTAATGTTTGGGAAAAAAGGGTTATCTTTAAGTTTCGACCACACAAACTTGTTAATACTTAAAATGTGGTCATTTATGTCTTTGGTTATCATTTTCTCCTCTGATTTTGTCAACGTGTATGTGTTCCGACTAGCAGAAGTTTTCATGTCTTTAACAATGCCATACTATCTGTTCCTGTTGGAAAAAATATTCTATACCCTTTGTTTTCGTTATGAACAAATATTAAAGTATAAAATTTGTTCCAGTGGAAATAACTTTACAGATTTTTTCTTTCATGTTGAACTTATTTCTTGAAGGAAGTTATATAGCCAAGACAACATGACTTAAGTTTTTTAAACTTTTTAAAATTTAATCATCGACATTACGTACAGTTTCTATAAACTAACAAGTGAACTAGTGTGTAATAAACATGATAAAACCTGAATATCCCTTTGGCATCTTTCGTCTACCTTTTACTAGAATCTAATATTCATTCTTACTAAGTTAAGTGCAAAATTATTATAGTGTTATTAACTGGCTGTTTCTGTATTGGCCCTGTTATAGATTCGAGGTTAGTTGTATAATTTAGACCCGAGACTCGAAGAGTCAATACAGAAACAGCCAGTTCATAACACTTTTATTAAATGATTTTAATTCTTCGATTAAACTAAGAAACTTGCCGTGAAAAAGATACAGAAATTCATATCTGAACTTGTCTTTTCGCATTCACGATGGATTTTTTGTCAACATTGTCAGATGCAATTTCTAATTTTTGTCGAAGTACTTAATCTTATGCTAGTACAATTCATTTAATCTAGCAAATATAAAGTAGCTGGGAAGAATAAATCAGACAGTTTAACTATTCTTACTCTTGGATCGTCTGCGTTCTAGTGATTGATCAACGGAAATGAAACGGTGATAATAATCGAAAGTCGTACTCGAAAAGACTGGGAATCATTTCCGTTTCAAGACGTTACAAAACAGTGAACATCATTTAAACGTTTTTATGATATTAAGTTAAAACATATGATACAAATGTATTCTATGCATAACGATACGTCCAAAGGCGTATGCAAATTGAAACCGGAAGTGAACGTCCCGTATTAGCCCATGGGCCAATACGGCTTTTTTCCGTATTGGCCCTGTCCGAAAAGCAATATGAAGTCTTGATTTATATCGACAGGACAACGTCATCAGTATTGGAAATGCTGATTTATCCGTATTAGGGCTTATTTGCTCATATCATTTTAAAAAGGTTATTATTCAGTTGTGTAAAGGTTTATTTTGAGTATTTTACATATATAATTATATATTTTGATTAAATACTAGGCTTTACCTTCCTTTTAGGAGCATCATGGATAATTTCTGTTTTTCGGAATCGTGTTGCTTACTCTTTGTTTTCTATGTTGTATTTTGAAGACGGTTGTTAGTCTTTTCGGCATACTTTTTTTGTCCTGGCGTTGTCTCTCTTTTAAACTATATCGCTAGATTGATATTCGTTATAAGATCTTATAAACAAAACAAAACTGGTAATACTCAAGTCTGTTCTGTAAAAATGACTGATTTAAAAACTGTACATGCTGTATATACAATGGGCATCTTCCATGTTCTAAAAGTACTACTACTATGCATGAAGAAAGTTAAAAAACTCGTAGAATATGTTAACATGATCTGGGATTAAGCTTTTCAATATGTCTTTAAAAAAATAGGTTGAAGATACCAAAGGAAAATTCAAAGCTCGAAGTGTAGTTGAAAACGTCTAATTTTGAAAGAGTTTTTGCCTTTGAGGTAGTTGTTAACTCCCAATGTCTCACAAACGTATACTTCTATGGGTTTAATACAATGATAAAGTATGCATACAAAGGTAGACGCTTTATAAAGTCTTATTTTCAATAAAAAATACACAATTTGAGGCTCTGAAGTCTTCAAATATGGACACTCTCCAACGTTGTAGACTAGAATATAATTCATGAATTAAATATCTTTTTTTAATCTTGTATTGCTGATAACTTATCTGTTAACAGTCTCTCTCTATTTTCTTTAGTTTTACCCAAAACACAAAAAAGGGTAAAAGATAGGCGAAAGATACCAAAGGGACATTCAAACTCATGTCGAAAATAAGCAGACAACGCCATTGCTGAAAAGGAAACTAAAATTTTCAAGATAATAGGAAAAAATGCCAAAATTGGTTATAATCTTCATGTAAGGGCAATAACTTCATTGATGAGTCTTTTGTAGACGAAACTTGCATCTGGCGTACAAAACTATAAGCTTGGTCTCAAAAATGAGTTTTTTTCTGAAAAAAAGGAGTCGACTGACGATTTCCTTCATTGGACTTATATATAAATCTTATCTTGCTGATCACTTTTGATATTTAAAGTTTTTATCTATATATTATAATTTTCAATTTGATAGGCAAAATTCAAAAAAAATATAAAGTTTAAAGCAATAACGCGTATTAAAAGTTGTACAAAGACATCAGGTTGATGTTTTGACCATGTCAGATTACTCTATCTGTAGTGGTTTTCAAGATAATAGACAAAACGTTTACCCATTTGTTTTATTTTCAGTCATATCGGCAATTGTTGTTGACAAGCGGGGTCATTTGGGATATTTTGTTAAACAAGATACCCAAATGATGATTTTGGCAAAGTTTGGATAAATTTGGCGCAGTAGTTTTAGAGGAACAGATAATTGTAAAAGTAAACGGACGACGACGGGCATCAAAGGATGAGAAAAAAGTATTCAGCCAATTAGACAACTATCCACCAGTGACCAATTATCTGATATTATTAATTTTCAAGTTCATACGATGTCAAATGTTTTATTTTGATTTGGTATAACTGGCTATGATTCGTTTCCAGACCATCATGGTTAGAACCAATGATATCAACGCAAGCTGTAAACATTGACCCGATTTAACATTTAAGTGAATACTATGGAACGCCACAGCTGTCTTATGTGGAACTCTGATATTACCTTATGTTGTTTTATTATTACTTGAAGATATTTTGTCTTTACTTAATATGGTTTTGACATTACGTAATGATGTTTTGATATAACTCAATATGGAATAGTCATTACTTAATGATATTTCAGTATTACACGATATGGTTTCGTATTGACTTGATATAGTTTTGTCATTACTCAATATGGTTTTGTCATTACTCGATGTGGTTTCACCATTATTTAATGTGGTTTCACCATTATTTAATGTGGTTTCACCATTATTTAATGTGTTTGTGTCATTAGTCAATGTGGTTTTAACATTACTTGATGTGAATGTGACTTAACGTTATGTAGTTGTTTCATTACATGATGTGGTTTTGTTATTTCGTAATGATGATTTGCCTATTCTTTATACGGTTTTAACATTACGCAATGATGTTTCAAAATTTGACGATTTTACACTAC